TACCTGCAGTTAAAGACTGAGGAAGGCAGCAGTTGCCCTGACCAAGAATCACTAAATGCCCGAAGGTGTCTTTTGGGAAGCTCCTGGGACAGCACTTTTTATATAAAGGACACCCCTGGTCCCTAGAGGCCAGAGCATGTCTTCTGAAAACTGCAGTCCCAGCCTTCGATTGGAAAAATGTTTCAAGGCACAGTGGCCTAATCACAATGGCCAACACGCAAACTGACCGAGCTGTTCCCTGTTGCATGTAGATATCCAAGGCAGCATCAGCAGCAGGTGCTCTGCACCTCGGCCCTGAAGCCTGGAGCATTTATTTAGTGTCCAATCCCAGATGATTCCTAACACCTAAATAAACCTCTTTTTACATGGGAAAAACAAACAAACAAAGCCAAAGAGGGAACTCTAATGTAAAATTAATAACACATCAATATTAGTTTATAATTGTAACAAATGTACCACACTGATGTACCAAGTCAATAATAGGAAAAACTGTGTATGTGGGTGTGGGGAGGGTATGGGAAATATCTTTAAACCTAAAACTGCTATAAAAATAAAGTCTATTACAAAGAGAAAAATCTCCACTGGGTGACTTACATATATTTACATGCGATATTTTTATAAATCATCTGAGATAGTTTTTGTAATTTGCCCACATGTGGCACATCAGTGACAAGTAAACCTGCCCCTGATTAAATTCTGTGTTCAAAGAAATATACAGTAGTTCTCCGAAGGCAAAGCAAAGTTTAAGAAGATTGTCCCCTTGCTGCTCATAATCATAACTGTTTACAGTCCTTTAGTTAGTTTTTAATTCTGTGTGCACAGGCAGTATATTCAAACTTATTTGTGAGTTAAGAAAGAATTATTCCCTTTGGTCAACAACTCACCTTGTGCAATATATACAATTTTGAATGACATAATCTTTAATTTTCATTTAAAATTTATATTCTTTAATTTCACAATAATGAAGGGAAAAGGAAATAATACTTGAAACAATTATTAACTAATTCTTTAAAAAAAATTTTATTGAATAAATTGATTATATAAAAAAATTTTTATTGAATAAATTGATTATACATATTTTGGGGGTTGAACATTGAGATATGTTGATCAAATCAATATTACAAAAAAAATTTTATTGAATAAATTGATTATACATATTTTTGGGGTTGAACATTGAGATTTGTTGATCAAATCAATATTACTAGCATATATATTGTTACAAATCATAATTATTCTTTATGCCCCTCGTCCAATCCCTTCCCATCCCCCTTTCCTTCCCCTCTTCCCCCCTCTAATTACCATAGATTTCTTCTCTCCCTCTGAAAGAATAATGGTTACTCTGTTGATTTGCTGCCCAAATGATCTGTCCAATGCTGAGAGGCGTGATTAGGCCCCCCAATACAGTCACAGAGCAGATGCCTCTTCTGTCACTATGAAATGGGCTTTGTGGAGAGAGACATCCTCCTCCTTTCTTTATCTCTGCTGGTGACTCTTCTTTTGTCAATTCACTCCAGTGGCTGGCGGACCATCTGCATGGTGTTTGTGGTGTCTAGCCACCTTCACAGCAGCCACGGTTATCGTGGTGGCTGTGATGGGCCACCCACATGGAGGTGATGTTTTTGGCATGCTCCTTGGTGCTGGCAGTGTGCCTGGTTGTGGGGAGTGTCCAATTCCTGGCTCTATACCCCAGGACCCCAGGTGGGACCCAAGGCACTGATNGGAGGTGATGTTTTTGGCATGCTCCTTGGTGCTGGCAGTGTGCCTGGTTGTGGGGAGTGTCCAATTCCTGGCTCTATACCCCAGGACCCCAGGTGGGACCCAAGGCACTGATGAGGTGTACCTGGTTGTGGGAGATGGGTCTGGTCCCCTTCTCCATGGCCCGGGTCCCCAGGCAGGCCCTGAGGCCCTGGTGCTGCATGCTTGGTTGTGTGGGGGGTACGGTCCTCAGCTCCATACCCCGGGATCCCAGGCAGGCCCTGAGGCACTGGTGAGGTTTGCCCGGTTGTGGGAGGGGGGTCTGGTCCCCTTATCCGTACCCTGGGACCCTGGGCAGGCCTCAAGGCACTGGCACGGTGTGCCTGGTTGTGGGAGGGGAGGTCCGGTCCCCTTCTTCATGCCTCAGGCCCCTGGGTGGGGCCCTGAGGCGCTGTCATCTTGTGTCTGGGCATGAGAAGGGGGTCCAGTCCCCATCTTCTAGTCCCGGGGCCCTGGGCAGGCCTCAAGGCATTGGTGGTGTGCCTGGATGTGGGAGTGGGGTCTGGTCCCCTTCTCCAATCCTTGGGTTCCTGGGCGGGGCCCCGAGGTACTGGTCATGTGAATGTTTGTTTGCGGGGATCCTGCCCCTGGCTCCATGCCTCATGTCCCCTGGTGGGCCCCAAGGAATTGGTGGTGTGCCTGGGCTGGAACTAATTTTTTGTCCTTTGCTTACTTCTAACATGGGGG